AAAAAAAAGTAATTAGAGCTCAAAAACGTAAAATTTTCAATAAAGTGATAAGTGATTCTCCATACCTCCTGTAGAGATAGTTGCAGAGATATGAATCAATCAGGAAACATGGGAATATACCTTTGATCCAAACTCTTCCCACTCAGTTACAACAACCATATTCGGATGCTTGTACCCAACAGCTTCTGCATCAAACTTAGTGATGCGCGAAGTTTGCTCCAAATAAGACGAGTTACATCTAAAAATAACCTCAGATATATCAACCTTATAGATAAGAAGGAAAGTTTGGCATACCCGTAACCTATCACCACTCCGATCGTGCAATCTGGGCCATACTTATGACCAGCAGCGGCCAGTTGACCAACTGTATCATTCATCACGGCTTTTATTTGGGCCTTGGTTGACTGAACACGTTAACTATGATGGGGAAAATCACTTTAACAGGCGAAAGCAAACAGGCAATTAAAGCTCTATGCGATTCCATTAACGATTTAGAAAAAGTTAAAATGAAAATGATTAAACCTCACCATGTTCATTTCCAAAGCTTCTTCTAGAAGTTGAACAACATCTTTTCTTAAACAGTCTTTGATATCAAATCCTTTTGTCCACCATAAAAGACGAGCAGACCGTATAGACAATAATTCACATGGGTACGAAAATACGAAGCCTATACAATGAGATGAATAATCGGAGAAAAAACCTATGGAGAAAAAAAGCTCACCAATCGGTAAATTTGCCTCCACTAGCCCAAATTCTTGCAAAAAGCGTTGCAAACAGTTGACAATAAAAGTGAACAGCTGCAAGGTACAGATAGACACGGAACAAAAGAAAAAGCATCAGTCCAGAAGAAAAGGCTTTTGACAATAGTTTTAGCAAATTGTACGATTACGAAGCCAAACAACACTGGTACACGGTAATTAAGTTCTTTACAAAGATGATATAGTTTATTTCCATAATCTCCAATATTGAAGATAAACGCTTTTAGTAAAATCCAATAAAATTTCCTTATCTAATATCAAGCAGCTCTTTATCTTAAAAACAAAAGTTCTAGCTGCTGTACCCACCTGATCACCAGTTCCTTTCATTACATGGTTAGGTACGATATAATTGTTATTGACAGCGTTAGGCTCACGTCCTTTACCGTTAAGCGTTAGTAGCATGATGCGTAGGTTTTTTCCAGACAAGTCGATAGCAACGTATTTTCCTTCTTCTGCAAAAAATACAGCACCAGGTATGCAAAAAATATACAAAAATTTTGAAAACCTCAGTAAAGTTCTAGGCAAATAAATCTTCCAAACCTGATCCATCAGGTAGTGCTGGTACATAAGAAGGCAACATGGCAATGCTAGACCCGTCCACGCTGGAAAGGCCAGCTTCCATTTCCAGTTCAATCTTCTCGCTAATGATGTGCAAATCATCCTCGCTTATGACAAACTTTTGCAAAATCTTGAAATACAGAATTAGAAAAGATTCTAAGAAAGCTGATGTACCTGAACTAGATACCGTACCTCTTGAACTTCTGATCGCTCCAGCCTCATTCCCATATCTTGCTATATGCTTCTGTCGTGAAAAAAA